GGGCCTGTTGCGATAGAACAAGGGGTAATGTTTTTAAACTAAAAGGTAGATTTAGACTAGATTTAAAGAAGACTTTTTTTACAATGAGGGTGGTGAAACACTGGCACAGGTTGCCCAGAGCGGTGGTAGATGCCCCAACCCTGGAAACATTCAACTGATGGGGCTCTGAGCAACCTGATGTAGTTGAAGATGTCCCTGCCCACGGCAGGGGGGTTGGACTAGATGACCTTTAAAGGTCCCTTCCAACCCAAACTATTCTATGATTCTATGATTAGTGAGAAGCAAAGTTGTCTGTGGACTGAATATGGGAGCTGGCAGGAATTCTAGTTGTACCATGGACTCCCATGGCCTTGGATAGGATAAATAATCAGTCACCCAGCTGATTTTTGGAGTAACAAACCTTCTGCCCACCACACATGGCATTGTGAGGAAGAGGCAAGATCCAGCCCTGGCTACTGACATGGATCACAAAACTGCATGGAGAGTATATTTTGCACTGGCTTTTGAAAATGCTGGATTCTAGAGATTAGTGTGAGGTAGAAACTCAGGCCTTAAAATGCGTTATCCATCTGGTAGGACTTACGCTGGTGTTTAAAAGACAGAAGATGAGCTCTCTTCTTATCCCCTATTCTGGACGGACAAGGGCATTGATTCCTGTATCAGTGCACCCCTTGGTGCTGGAGGATGGATGGACACCGGTTGACCTGCCATTTGCTGTGAGGATAGAAGAGCTGCCTGTGGGGAGGGGGGAGCTAGTGGCTAACTTGCCTTGCTTAAGATGAAGCCGGAGGGGTCTGTTCAAAAGGGAGCACATAAGAGAAAAGCAGTGTGGTGAGTTGGGTTCTTCGATGCAACCCGTTTTTCAGGGTTTTTTTAACCTCCAGTTTTCGTGCATTGTACAGACTAAGATGCCGGGTAGAGTCTGAAGATGATTTGAAATGCTTCAAGAATTACCACAAAAGCTTTCTTTCCACTACTAGCTTTACATCTTTCTACAGCTGGCTTTAATTCTTTCTTTTCCTCCTTGGTTTGTTAATGCCTTTTGCCATTCTGGTGTGCTGCTCCGGGGTATCACAAGGGAGTGAAACACCACATCACTGGTCAGTGAACTAGCTGGGAGAAACATTTATAAAGAGTGGGCTACAGGCCAAAGCTAGGCTAAGGACCTAAGGGCCTGATCCTGTGACCCCCACACAGACCCACCTCTGCAGGAAATCAACAGGACATGGGTTCCCAGAAGAATTTCAGGGTTTGGTCTTGGGCTGCTGAAGTGGGGAGAAAATGCAGGTGCTTAAGTTCAATCTTCTATGTTTAGTGTGGAACGCTGAGTGATGACAGCCCTAATGAGAACCTGACGGAGAGAGTTCTGCAGGATGCGCAGCGCTTGTTCCTGATGAACGATGTCGTGCAGCCGGTGACTGTAGATCCATATGTGACTCAGGACAGCATTCGATTTTCCAAACTGGTGGTTGATATTGTTCAAGGGAAGGATACTCTCTACCATGTGATGTATATTGGGACAGGTAAGAGCATCAGGGCTTAAGGAAGTTCCCTCCACTTGCTCGTAGACCTAGCAGCCCTAGTAGCCTGGTTGTGACATCATTACACAGTTGTCATTCAATATCATTTTGGCACAAAACTGCATGGAAATTAGTTTGCTTGAGTAAATTAAAAGCAGGATGGAGGACTTGAGGCAGAATCCCAAGTGAGCAGACCATAAATCTACATTGTGTTTAAAAACAACAATAACATTTTTCTTCTGTTTATAAAAACATGTTTCAACTAATCAGACTAATACATAACAGCGGGGAAGAGCAAAGGTCGCTGAAATGCTCTGTGGTTTTGTGCACGTAAGTTGCCTCTCTGTGCTATGACATACTCATCTCTAAATAAGCAATAATAGTACCTAACCTCCAGGCTTGCCCAAGGTTTTAATTATTTCTTTCTTTGCACTTCTGTGTGCCTACTGGTGTATGACTCCTAGTGCTTTCGGGAATGGGCATGCCCTGAAGTGTAATGCAGATGGGGAAGCTGAGGCAAATGCTTTTTTGTGGTAGCATAGCGAGCCAGTGTAGAGTTAAGTATATGATTTAGTCTCTTGATTTCTACTGCCATCCTCTAATTAGCAGGACACATTGCCTCTTCTGAAAAGCACACATATCTTGGATAAATGAAAGATGCTGAAGAAGGACAAAGTGTTATAAATGGTTGTCTTAGCCCATATTCATACTAATGATAGAGGTTAAATTAAATAGTTTGATTAATCAGAGCATATGGCCAGCCTCATGGGTATAATGTTGTTATCCTCTATTGCAGAAGCTTTGACTTTAGAATGAGATGGATTGCCTCCGTAAGTGTTAGTTTAATCTCACATCTGAATGCAGAGTCATTGCCTCATTCTCATGTTACCACCTTCCAGGACTGTGTCATAATTTATCTAACTTTTACCACCACTTACTTCAAAAGTGATCATCTTGGATGTGTTCTAGTAACATTCCCACTGTGGGAGCCTCCATGGACATTGATTATGATGAGAAGATTGGACTTAAATGGAAATACAACATGGTTCTGCTATTTTCATATCTTGATATTTTAAGTGAGGAGTCCCAGCTACAAAGGCTGAGAGAAAGCTGGGATACTTTCTGTCTCGTATCGTTTGTGTAGAAAGGTTCATTGCCATAACCTTACCTCCTTATCTGTGTTTGCATTCTGGCCGTGGTTAGTGGTGACTGAAGAGAAAGCTCTGCTGGACCTGAAACATTTAAACCAGTCAAATGCTTCAGTAGAGACAGCCCTGCCCAGAGGCAGCCCTGAACACAAACCCAGTCCTGAGATAAACCAAGCTCAAACTTGGGCCTCAGTCATGTTCCACACTTAAGGTCCTCCTAAGTGAAAGAGAAGCTTTGCATGGCAGCCAGCGCCGCCACTGTAAATTGCTGAGCCTTGGCACCAATACAGAAGTTATTGGGATGGAAAGATTAAGCTTCAGGAACAATCGGAGCTGACAGATCTCTTTGGAGTTTTAATGAAAAATGGTGTGGTTGCCCCCTTTTCCCCAGCATAAATCTCCCACAGTTTATCAGATCTTTAAATTGTTTAGCTAAGAGCACTGTGAGCACAAACATACATGTTTCTGTGTATGCACTGCTCATGCCATAACATCCCCTTGTCAGGCTGGCAGGATGGCTTCTTCCAGGAAGAGGATCAATTAGATCCGTGACCCATGCAGTCATTACGGAGGCCTCTGAGATTTCCAGCAGGGCCGCTGCATCTGTTGTCATCTGTCATGGCATCAAGTCCCACCGATCTGCTCTATAAACCAAAAGAAATATAGACTCGAGGCACCAGAAATGATCCCTGCTATCTCAGGTCACCTTGCTGTATAACTCACTGGTAACAGGACCAGAGTCTTTTCTGCGTCAGTGCTCCAACTGGGAAATTTTTCCAGGTACTCACTCTCCAGATGGTTTACATCCTTCTGGCTTCCCATTAAAATGCATTCAGACGGTTTCTGTAATGCCTGAGAACTGCTGAGGATTGTAACCATGTGGCTGGAGCACTCTCGACCATGGTAAACAAGTGACCCAGAACTAGGTTTAAAGCAGCTGTGTAAAGGTGACATTAATATTTCACTCTTTGGGCAGGTATGGAATGAAGCCAATGCCTCGAAGATTTACTTGTGCCTTGTTTCTTGTTCCATTAGAGTATGGCACCATCTTGAAGGCCCTTTCTACCACTAACAGGAGCCTGAGGAGCTGTTATTTAGAGGAAATGCAGATCCTCCCTGACGGACAACGGGAAGCAATCAAGAGCCTCCAAATCCTGCACAGCGACAGGTCACTCTTTGTGGGCTTAAATAATGGAGTGCTAAAAATTCCTCTGGAGAGATGCTCCATGTACAGAACAGAAGGGTAAGCAAATTTACAGCTCTGATACATTCCACTTCAGCCTAAAAAGAAAAGCACCAGGGAAACATATTCTAGTCTGATTTGGTTTAGAATGCTTTTTTTCATCACTACAAGACAAAAGACACTGTTGGAAGTGCATCTTCTGATAGATACATTCATGACAGGAGCAATGAGAATGAGCAATATTTTTTTGGTAAATATTAATTAATCCTCATCAGAAATTAATTGTGTGTTTACCATGAAAGGACTTACAATATTTACTACTTTTTTTTTAACTTGACATTTCCGTGTTGCTTTGATTAACTCCATGTGTTTTGCTGATGGTTCTTATTGGCAGTATGGCTGCAGGTTTCTGAATTTGGGTTGCAGCCAGCCTATCCTGGCTTATCCGAGTCATCACCTCTCAAACCTCTGATGAGGCAGGGCTGGGCTGCGTGGCAACTTGTTACTGCTTTTGGAACCCAATACCTCATCTCAACTATGTGTGACACCTCTTACACCTGGACAGATTCTATGCCTTGATTGTACCTTTTAAAGAGAGTAGGAAAAAAGGCTTTTTTTAATTGTCAGCCCTGGTGCCAGAGCAGTTTTCCACCCAGAAATGTGTGTAGGTTTTTGCATCCAAATGGTATCCCCCCATTTAAGCAGGTGAAAAGATAGCAACTGATTGAGACATACGCTCAAATAATCTCCCTGAGTGTGTAGCAGGGTCTGCTGTGGGTAATTTCTTGTTTACATCTCTTAGAAACATTCTTCCTTCTCCTCTCTTGCTTTTGCCTTGCTTTCCTTGATGAGAGTTTTGTCTGAAACTGATGTTCTCTGTGCTAGACAAGAGGAAGGAATTTGTTAGCAACGTCTAAACGGATTCCCTCTTTCATGGCCTACTGCAATATGTCCCTGTTCTCTTGCCAAAAAAACTGATATAGAAAATGTCACCATCATTTTTTTTTCAACAAGTAGAGTTTATCTATCAGCTTGTACTAAATTCATGTCCGTCTAAATATAAAAATGCCAGCTCTTTCTATTTTTACTGAACCCCTTAATTATCCCTTTCAGAAAATATAACTTGGTCATTACTGTAAATTTGACACAGAATTGTTTAGTGTGTAAAGTTACTTATACAGACATGCTGACGCAGCAGTGTTTAGTAAGAGAAAGAGAACCACAGCTGGAAGATGCCATCCTGTCCTCAGCCTTTAAAAACAGAGATTTAAAAAGGTAGAACGTAACAGCTGTCCTCTTAAGGCTGTCCTGGAGAGTTTCAGTTTGGGAATATTTATGTGTGTATACATATATATGATCCAATTTCAAGAGAAATGAGTTCTTCCTTTTCTTTCTTTCCTAATCTTGAGTTCAGCTTTCCAGTAATTTATAGATCGTGTCCCAGTTTCAGCCTGCGTAAGTACTTGATATGACACTTCTCTTAAAACTTAAATGGTGGAGGTTTGCTCAACTGCCTAAAAAAGGCACAAGTAGGGAAAAAGCAGCAGTGGCTGGAGGGCAGAAGGGTGGGGGTACCTCACAGGAGCACCATCTATTTAGGACCTAAGGGCTGCAGCACAGTATAGTGCTGTATAACCTTATCCCAGCAAAACAGAAACCCGGCTCCAAAGAGGTTCCCTTGCACGCTGGTGGCCACAAGCAGCCTCAGTTTTATGCATTGTACAGCACTGAGTCCTGGCAGAAATTACTGGGAAGCTTGTGTGCCAAGACTGGTTTTTTCTAAAACAAACTTTCTGGAGGCATTTTTCAGTGAAATAAGGAAGCAGTCCAGCTCTTTGTGGGATGGAGACTCAGACTTTTCCTCCATTGACTAGTTTCATGCTACTTTTAGGCAATTTAAGCTAGCCGCTGGGCTATACCAAAGTACACAAGATATGGTCTCCTGACAGTGTGGTGGGTGCTTACATTTGGTGATGTGGGAGGTCAGAATTTGTTGAATTCGGGTGCTGGCCAGGTAGTGTACTTGTGTACATTGTAATGGATCCTTTGTCTCATGGCTGAGTCTTGTGGAGGGACTCTGCATTTGAAAGAAGGAGGGAAAAAAGAAGAAAACTTAGGAAAGCCAAGGCAGGCAATTATTTATTTATTTGTTTGAAAGCATATTTGTGATATTATTCTTAATTTTTAAGCTAAGCTTTTTTTTTGTAGGAAATTACTCAACTGCGAATTTTTCAGCTGCAAATGTTGGAACCCTTTTTCCCCTTAGCATCCTGGCTATGTAGGTGATAAGTCAACTTGGCCTCCTTTATATTTCTTTCAATACTGAACAGTATCAAGAAGGATGTTTTAATTTCCTCCAGTGCATTCCACCTGGCACTTCTCCTGGGCTGTGATTTATTGCTTATTGTTGTGTCCATGTTTAATACATGCCAATATACAGCCACCACGGGAAGAAGGGCTCCCGCCCCTACAACACCCCCTGCTTACTTTTTTGTTGTGCTGTGACTTCTTGACTGGCCTCCCTGAAAAGCTCTGGTTTCAGCAGTTTTTATAATCTAATTGTTTTAATGGGGGCTCAGGAAGCTTGGAGGTGATGGAGAATTTGTGCCTCCCAGGCAGGAATACCACAACACTGTTTGTTTTCTTTGGCTGTGCCTCATGTTATCAGGAAACTTTGCAGCCTTTTACACCCTGGGGGCTGATGTGGGTTCTTGATTGCTGACTTAGAGCTCTTGCCTTCACGCTGCCTTCTCCCTTCTCTCTGGAATGCGCGATCATGTATCGAGAGAAAATTGATCCTAGCATTGATCCCCTCCAGTGATCCCTGCTGCTCTGCTGCTTTAAAACCTCGGCGCTTGGTACCCAGGCTCAAAAATGGGACAAAGGAAAAAGCAGCAGCGAAGGAAAGAGATGGAAAGGGAAAAGGATTTCTGCCATCTCCTTTACTGTTTGTTTATTGACACGGCACCAATTTAATCTCTTAAATGGTGACCAGTAACTCAGCCCCATGTCTTGATGTAGTTCATTGACCCAATATATTTTTGGGTGTCTGAGCAGTGTTTTGTGTGTGCCCACTGACCTGTCTCAATTTGTCTTTTCAGAACAGCCAGGCTTAGCAACAGGGCAACGGGAAGACATCTGTAATGTCAGCTGCCCAAATTTACAGGCTGGACTTGGCTGCAGGGACCTTGCCTTGTGCGTGTGTTTTCCTGATGTGCTTCAGTGCTGCTGTTCCCCACTCTCGCTGGAGTGGGACTATTAGGAAGATGTCCAATGCAAGCAAAACCTACAAGCCCTTTGAACATGCAACGTGTTTTGAAGGCTGCTTTGCTGGGTGGTAGCTTGGCTGTGCTTGCTGCTGGATTTTGCATGGCTTTGAAATCTTTGTAACCTCCCTGCAATTTTCAAATGAGCTTGGATTTTTACCTCAAGTTGCCCCCGAGCTTTGGGGAGGGATATTTGGAGAGCCAGCAGTGCAGCTTTATCACTGACACCACCATATCTCTAGAATGTGTCTGAACAAAATCCTGAATCTGAATTTTAGAGAAGTGAGGACTTCAGATCTGGACCATTATTTTCAGGTGGGGCCTACCTGTAGGGGTAGTTTAGTAATTTTTTCAAAGGGTGGGGTGAGATTATTCATTTTAGGAATTGCAATCAAACAGGTAGGAAAATGAAGCTGGTTGTTGTAGGGAACAGTTTGTGATCTCTTTCTATTGCCCTTTTGCAGCATCAGGGCCGTGGGTCTCTGAGCAGACAGAAACCCTGAGGCAAGCCTTGGAGTGATTTTGTAGCCGTTTTTCGATTACACATTCAAATGAGGAAAAGAAAATGTGTTTGAGAATGAGACCAAAGGGTCTCTTGAATATCCACCTTTTCTGCTCTGCCTGTCCTGAGCAGTTTATTTTAATACACTTTATGTTGATATTCATTCTTTCCTCTTCCTCCCTCCAGTTTTCTGCATAAAATTTGCAGTTCGCATGATGCAGGCTGCAATTTTGGGATGTACAGTGTGGTTCTGAGAACAGTTTGGCTTGCCTGTCCTCTCCCTGTCGTGCTGTATCCCACGTGTGGGTATCCCATCAGGTTGCGCGAGTGCCACTTCAGGTCAACCTCATGCCAGTGGAGATACTCCTGCTTCTGAGGCTATGGGGAGAGCCAGATCCTCTTGCGTGCAGCTATGACATGCTCTCATTTGAACTCTGCCTGCTTTTTTGACCCTTTTGCTGGGAGTTTGCTGTTGAGTGATGCTGTGCTTTTGCCCTCCTACTTGGCCTAAATTCTGCCATACATCCCCTCTGGCCATGGTGCTTAATGCAAAGCTAGCAGAAATGACTCAGCTGACAAGTACTCTTATATGCTGACTTGAGATCTGTATGAGAAACACAATTCACCTCTAAATAGCTCTGGGCCAGTGATCAGACAACTGAATACATATAGGTGAGTAACTCCTGAAATGGCTCCAGGGAGTTTTCGGAAGAAAAGGGTCAGCAGCAGCAGTAAAGAAGCAGAGAGTTTTCTGCCCTCTTTCTCTCTCCAAAGTGCAAAACTGGAGCTCCAAGCAGGGTCCCTGTACCATGTCCACACTTCGTTTTAGGGGGGTTGAGATATCGGATGGAGGATTGCTTTGGTGGTTATTGTGATTTTCTTCCTTTTTTTACTCCTTATATGGTGCAAAATCCTCTGTAACAAAGGAATGAAACACTTGAATTTAGGATTGCAAAACCAGAATTACAGGATTACCAAATTTCAGGAGTGAAACTGTTGGGGAGCTTAATTGGAGAAATAATACAGTCTGGGAAGAGATCTAAAAATTTCCCAGTTTTGGGGAAAAAAAAATTCAATATGGGCTGTAAATCCTCTGACCTCTTCATCAGAATGACGATAGTTCCTCGAAGGACAAACAAGGAACTATTGTTGGGTAAAAAGCACGAGAGAGAAAATGTTAAAAGAGGTAGGGGAGGGAACAAAGCAGAGACTGTTGTTCAGTGGAGCCCAGCATCCAGCAGGTCGCTGAGGTGACGTTGACAGCCAGATTGTTCATCAAAGACCTTGAAAAT